TCTGTCCCCCCGCCCCCATTCCTGGTCTTATTCTCATTCAGGTGACCACATTCCCTTCGTCATGGCACTCCTCACGCAGGACGTACACGGCCCCTTGTCAGGTCACCTCCCTGAGCTCAGATCTAGAAGGCATTTGCACCCGGATGTTGCAAACACCTGCAATTTTATGCTGCTTTAAAATCTCTCCCTTCTCGTTGTCTTGTGGTGCCATCATCTACCCCTACAGCAAAAGTCATCGTCTTATGATTCTTTTCTCTCTTCGTTCTAAGAGGACACCAACTCCTTCTATCCTACACACGATTCTCTGTCAGAGCCATTGCTGCGCCTGACAGTCCAAGTCACTTCTCGAATGGGCCGTATGCCAGTATCTTCCCACCTGCAGCCCTACCTGAAACACCCTTTAGAATGCAGCCGGAGGAAAGGACAGATCTGACTGTTTTAGCCCCAAGATTAAAATCTACACTCCCCTGCAGCGCAGACCAGCCTCTCCTGCCGTCCTCGTTCCTCAGTTTCCCGGACACTCAGTCCCCAGACAGACGGAGAGTTCCAGGGGACAGGGCTTCTCTTATCTTTGAAACTCACCTTGAAAATAAAGTGAGTGTTGTCCAGCTTTTGTTTGGAACTGACAATTGACTTGAAGTTCATAAGTTCTCTAGATTTTTATGAACCAAAAAGCCACACACATTTGATTCCTGCTGCAACACTGTTTCACGGCACAGAAAATTATTTCTGTACAAAACCTCATTACCATGAATGAGTACAGAATGATCTATCTGCAAAATGGACATCTATGTTTAATGTGTGTTGACCTCATAAAGAAAATTTTCACGTTTGGTCTATTTGCAAACACCACTGTAGACAAAAAAAAAAAAAAAAAAAAAAAGGATGTTTTATCCTCAGAGAATAAGGGAGAATATATCTTCCTATGTCTATCATTTTCCCTGAAACTGATTAAAAAGCAACAAGGGAGGATTTGGAGATACTTTAAATCTCTGAATTTTGTAGGCACTTTACGTGACATCTCACTTAACAAAAAAACCAAAATAACAAAAAAAATAAAATAATTTGAAATCTCCACAGTGTAGGGGTGGGGAAAGGAGAGAGGAATGACGTTCAATTTTTCATAGAGCAGTACTGTCCAATGTGACTTTCTGCAATGATAAAACTGTTCAAGGTCTACACTGTTTAGTATGTAGCCAACAGCCGCAAAGTGCTATTGCAACAGGAACTGAATTTTTAATTTTAATTAAATTAAATTTAAGTAACTACATGTGGCCAATCGTTACTGTATTCAACAGACTTCTGGAGCATGGTATTACTTTGTGAAACGATGCATCAGCATTCTCGCTTACAAATGTTAGCTCACAAAGTTTTGCAAAAACACTTCTGATTACTACATTATCAAATCTCCAAATGTGAATGCTTAGTTAAAAAAAAAAAACAAGAAAAAAAACTACCTTTTATTATTAACAAACACTGTAAGGTTACTAAGATACAGATACATTTCAATACATTTTTCCAGAAGGATATTTATTAGACTGCTAAACAAAGCATGAATGGAAGTTCTCTGTAGTGTTTTCTAAATCTTTCCAGTATACATTCTTTAAACCTCCTTAAAGTTAAAAAATGAGACAGGAAAAAGGAATTTGCTTCAGCACAGTGACAGAGCAGCAGTTAATTTCTGTAAAATGTCCAATGAAAAGGTAAGCTCGAACCTAAGACAATTTCACCCTTGCAATAAGGAAATTAAAAAGAAAACTTTAATAACAAGAACATATTTAGGATTGTAGATAAAATAGCCAAATGTCTGCCTTAATCTTTAATTGGTCAATTTACATATATGTATTTTAGAGTGTATTACATAAGGCAATACGTATATTCATTCATGACAGAGTGTCTAATGACACCTTCAACATCAGGTTGCTGAAGGTCTTTGAGGTGACCTGAGCCACTGAATCATCAAATTCCATTTTCCAAAGCATGTCACCTCTGCATCTACCAAGTCAGCTATGACAGAGCATTTCCCGAATCCACACAGATCCTCAGTGGAAATCTTACCCCAATTCATCAATACCCGTGCAGGTGGCATAACTTTTTTCATTCATCACTAACTAAATCAATTGATTGCATAACTATTCCAGACTGGCACCCACTGAGCTTGTTTTAGCGCAGTGTGTATTTCCCAAAGAGCGTCTTGTCGGAAACAGGATAATTGAGAGAGTGACCTGTAACAGGAGAGACCGGAACATGTGGGGACATGAGGGATAACTGTCTTATATTCAGGCATATACAGTAGACACGGGAAGATAATTCTTAAGAGGGAAGGCTGCCTGCAGTGGTCTAGGGTTTCTTCATGCCTTCTGTAAGCGCTCTCGAGGCTTCCGTGTGGATTAAAGTGTCTGTCTCTGCTAAGCAGTCATTTTCCTTTAGGGTCACAGGCAGACACGAAGCTGCCAGGACATGCGGATGGGCCTTCTCCACTTTCAGTCCCATCTCACACGACTGCAGGCACTATTTTTCCAGACAGCTAATCTAATGTCATCTGTGCTCCTCTTAAAAACTTCCTGCAGCTTCCACCACTGTGCAGAATGAAAAAAGAAAACCAAACTCACAAAACTCAACCTGCATTGTTCATTTGCTGGCCTGGCTGGTGGGCGCCAGCCGGCACTCTCCCTTCAGGGACTTGGGTCAGGCGCCTGCACTCACGGAAGGCGGCCCCACACTGGCTCCAGCCTGGCTTAGCTGCGTCCTGCTCAGGCTTCGCATCTCGGCTCAGCTGGGCCATCGCTTCCTCCCAAAAGCTTCCTTGAATATGGCCTCCTCCACCCACAGGGACAAACGTCTCTCACGGTATTCGTCTGTTTCCTACAGCTACCAATACCTAATGCTTCCCGGGTGTACACCACTGGGAAGAAACTTCTTTAGGCGCCTCATTTGCACACCTCACTACCACCCTGTGAGCCAGGTACCTATCTTCAGACGGGAAAGGTGAGGCCCAAAGAAGGCAGACAGGGTGCCCAAGCCTCCACAGTGCCCCAACGGGAACTCAGGCCTCCAGACCGCTGGGTCTGAGCTCTTACTTACCTCTTCGTGCTCTGCTGCTCAAAGGTTTCTACATTAGATAAGGGGCTTTTGGGGGTGATGCAATAGGGAAGGCTTTCCGGGTGCTTGTGAAGAGTGCTCAGAACAGTCACTACCTGAGAAGCTGCCTGTCACATGAAGAGAGGCGGGAAACCTGATTTCTAGTACAGTCCACTGAGTAATGCTGGCTTGACAGAGGCTCCCCAGAGCTCCTTCCAGTTAAAGTGAATTGTCAAAAACGAAACCCCTTCCTTTTCTTCAGAGATGCTCTTCATAGGTTTGCAAAAATACCCCCCCGCCAACATCCCCCTAAACCAAAAATAGTTACTGACAAGCTAAGACCTTTACCTAGTTTTGGAGTGAAAGGAGCACATGTAAGTAAACCTCACATCTAGAGGCAGGAGCAACAGAACTGTTCCAAAATGCACTAATATGTTTTACTGTTGATCACAAAGAAAAATTCAAGGCGAACTCTTCTCTTGGTTTTCTAGTTTAACACTGATTTTCAAAGCAGGAAGAATTTGTTGTTTATAAAGAAAAATCAAAGTTAGTTTGCTTCACATTTTACACAAAAAATTTAGGCCTACATGGACACTTGAAGGCATTTTGACAAAAAGGAAATTGTAATAGCTAATAGTTTATAGCTGCAGAGTGCTTCCTATATGTCAGGCATCTACACACACAGCATTCCTATTTCTTTCTTTGGTGCCTTTTAAAACCTCCACCTAAGTTATCAATTACTAATTCCCTTTTACAGAAGAGGAAACTAAGGCTTAGAGCGGTTACAAATAGTTACATGGTTTCAACCTCAGGTCTCTGTAGTTACTAAGCCCCCATCCACTACACTAGGTTTCTCCGAATTCAAAGGCATGGCACAACCTCCCCTCCCCTCCCCACTCCCCCGTGCTAGCAGGACTGTCACCTGGGCTGGGGAACCGGGCAGCGCCCGCCCCCCACCCCACGACTCAGGTGCAGGACACACTTGTATCACCTAACAGAAGACAAACTCCGCCCTTGCTGTGCCTCCCAACAAGGCGTTAGCGGGAGTTACCATTCCAAGATTTCAATTTACAAGGTCAGAGTTTAGTTCATTGAAGACGAGCGCCGCATGGGATTTGGCAGACTTACCTTCTGATCCTCGAATCAGACAGGCTGCGAGATCCGCATTATAAGAGCACTTTCACAACTGACGGGAGAACCGCATACAGCTCTCCTGTACCCCACTTCCGCTAAGTCTAAAATGACACCACTATTCTAACCATCAACTCACTTTGGACCAACGCCTTCCCTAATACATGTTCAAAAGCCTCGGAGCGTCGCGAGTGCCGCCTGAGCGCCCAACTCTTCCATGGCTGTCATGAATTAAACCCCGCAAAAGCAACCTTGCAGATCGGTATCCTCCAGCAACAACTACTCTAACTCGAGCTCTCCCCTGTCACAAGCAGAGGTCGATTTCTCATCCATCCGCCCACCATCACCATGTGCGAAGTTTAATCGTGAGTTCGGCCAAAAGACATTTCCTTTTTCCGTAAATGAAAAAGAGATCTGGACCGGTGCCCCTGCCTGGCTGCCCAGCGCTAAGGATCCCTTCCCGGCGCGTGCCCCGGAGCCGCCCCGGCAGGACCCACCCGAGCAAGAACGCAGAGCCTCTCCAGGTGTAGCCGCCGAGTGCAGGCCACGCCGCCCGCGGCCGCCTGGGACTCGCAGGCCGAGGGCGGAGGCGCGGCCGCCGCGCCCGCGCACAGCCGGCCCCACCCGCCCCGCCCCCACCGCCCCGCCGGCGGGAGCTGCGGGCGCGCGCCCCGCCTAGGCCTCGCCGCGCGCCGCCCGCGCTCCCTCCTTCCCGGCCCCCGCCGCCCGCGCGCGCTCTGCTCGCGACCCCCTCCCCAACCCTCCCCTCCCGCGCGCCCCGCACTCACTGAACATCCCAGGCGGCTCCGGCTCCTCCCGCCGCCGCCGCCTCCGGGATCGGGTTGCTTCCGCCTCCGTCGTCTCTGCGGCAGGGTCTCGCTCCGTCGGCCGGCTCAGCCGGGCCCCCGCGCCCCGCGCCTCGCCGCCCCCGCCGCGGCTCTGGGCGGCCGCTCCATGACTGACTGACACGGAGCGGGCCGCGGGCTGGGCCGCTCGGGCCTCCAACGCGTAACCGTCTCCACCAATGGGCGAGGCGCCTCGGCGCTCTGCTGGCGATGCCTGGCGTGCGCGCCGCCCCGCCCCGCCGCGCCGCCGCCGTCGGGCGGAAGAAACGCGGGGGCCGGTCCCACGTGGTGGGGCCACCGGGGAGCCCCGACTAGTCGCCACCCTGCTCTGTCCCTGCCCGCGGTCCGTATCCCGGCCGGGCTTGGTGGTGAGCTCCCTAACCTGGGAGCTGCTCTCCGTCTTCGCCCGCCGTCCCTATTGGCGGCGAGATCAGAGGCGAGCCCCTTACTTGGGGACCACCTATAGGTTGGTCCCTACTCGGGATCGGCTAGAGGTGAGCACCTAACGCGGGGACGACTCTGCGCCCCCGCCGGCGGCCCCTACCCAGAGTGGACCCCGAGGTGAGCTCGTTCCCTGGGGGCGACCCTCCGCCCCGGGCCCAGCCCCTCCCGGAGTTGTGCGCTAGGCAAGAACCCTCTGGGCTCGTCCTTCCGCCAAAGTCCGAGAGTAGCCACTCTTAAGCATCCTTTGCGTGAGAAATATCGGGGCTTTGCTGTGCGCCGTGTGCCCTTCGCACCCCGTGCTGAGACCGCTCGGGGGCACCCTGGGCGGGACGCGGGTAGAGCCGGGAAGGTGCCTGGGGCATCTTTGTAGCCAATTCTGCAAATACTTTTTAAGTACTTTGTAGCTGTGGCGATGGCTACAGACATACTGAACTTAGAAATTAAGTAACTAGTTGTTAGGTATTGGACATTTTGACAAAAAAGGAAAATGGCAGCGCTTGACTGTTCCTGGTCTCTGTAGTAAAGCGAAGGATACGATGCTCAATGTAAGAGTGCTTCACCCGGTGTTTGCTCATTCCCCGAATAGTCACCCGTTTACGTAAGTTTCGAAGGTGGGTCTGTAGGATTTCAGGCCCCGTAGATTCAGAAAGTGCGAGCGATCCCAGCTGAAAAATTTTTAGGTTTGACAGTTTATGTTAGAATCATGGGACTGCGATTTTCTTTTGCTATTTCCGTTATCTTATTTATGATAACTTTATTTCAGTATTAAGTATCATGAAACATTTTTCTCTTTTGAAGAACTGACGAGTACTTTCATGTAATGACAATGGCTTAACCAGATATGTTTCCCCTTTTTACTATGACTTTTAGGAAACGCAAAGCTACATTTACCTCAATTATGTAGAATTACAGGTTGTTAGTATGTTTGCTTTCCTTCTTTGTTCATGATTTTATTGTATTCTATATTTACAATCTTAGTTATGTAGCTGTATTTTGCAGCCTTTTTGGAAGCAGTCTTTGTAAATTTATACATTAACAAATAAAGTTATAGTGGGTAGTTGCTGTTGCAGCTGAAATAACAGTATTATTAAGAGTGGGTTTATAATACTATATTTCTTTTCCACTTGGAATCTTACTTTTTCTAAATACTGTTTATTTAGCTCTTTGAACTACTTAACGGAGCTGTTTCAGTACATAACACATAGTGTATTTTAGGAGACTTGTACAGAAACTTAACCTTTTCAGTCGAAGACCATGTGTGAATGAATCCTCTTTTACAAGTAATTTGAACCCTTTGCCCAGTTGAATTCATGCACATTCACCTTTGAGGATGTGATGTTTAAGCACAGCAGGAATACTTGTACCCGTGTGTGTAATCCATCTTCTGCCTGCTTTTGCCTGAGTTTCTTGGACCCTAGCAACTTATGTATAGATTTATGCCCAACAATTCTGTTGATGTGTTTTAATTCATTAAAGGAATACACACACACCCCTATGTATGAAAATAAAATGTGTAGTGTTCATTTTCTGATGCCTGTTGAGTTTGACCTTAATATAATTTTTCCATTGTTTTATATTGTAGATAAAGTGTAGCAATGGCTGCTGTTTATTCCGGCATTTCCCATAAGCTTAAAAGCAAGACAACTTCCTGGGAAGATAAACTAAAGCTAGCTCACTTTGCTTGGATTTCCCACCAGTGCGTTCTTCCAAATAAAGAACAAGTAAGTTTAATGGGACCCTTACATTTTTATTACCTAATGTTATTTATCATTTATGTAGATTGCATGTTGACATTTAGTTAAAATTTTAAAAGATTTAGAGGACAGGTTGGGGAAGGAAACATGGCTGGAAGTTAAAGTAGTGTCTGAAAAAAAGTAATGTCAGTTGTTTTATTACCAAACTTTTTCTGTTACAAAACCTCAGTCAGCATCTCTTATAATCCAAATTAAGTATATACATTAGTGAACGAATTGGGAATTAGGTTACAGAAATTAGCTTGTGAGTGTGTTGGTAGGTCCATTTGTTTGTAAATCCAAAATGATGCTCCATATGCATCTGCTTGTTGGAATTTGATGAGTTCAAGGTCGGGAAGTAGAGAAGCTTTCTTATTTGTATGAAGCCATTCTAGAAATGGATTAGGGACCAAGGAAAGCATCGTCTTTTACTAACATTTCTCAATCTCAATTTGGCTAAGTGCATTTGGATGAGCTCGTGAAATTGGGTTCACGTACACCCGAATGCTAGTTTTAAAGAAGACAGCACAAAACGTGTCAAAGATGCGTTAGGTTACATCTGTTAAAATGATGATGAGGTACAGTAGGTAGAACACTAACACATCTAGTAGTTTCTAAAACCAGCTGCACCTGAGGTTCTTGACAGCTCGATAGTCACGTGGCAAGTGCTACATGAGGTGAGAGGAAAGGGGAAGTGATGGCAGGCACTTTGAAAATTTTATGTCTCAATTACAGTTGACATTCAGTATTATTTTTTTATGTTAGTTTCAGGTGTACATCTCAGTGGTTAGACAATCATATGATTTGCAAAGTGATCTCCCTGATATTTCAAGTATCCGCCTGGCACCATACATAGTGATGACAATATTATTGACTGTGTTTTCCATGCTATACTTTGCATCCCCGTGACTGTCCTGTAGCTACCTGTTTGCTTCATCCCTTCGCCTTTTCCACCCAGTCCTCCAGCTCCCCGGCCCCCTCCCCTCTGGCAGCCGCCAGTTTGTGCTCTGTATCTATGAGTCTGTTTCTTCATTTATTTTGTTCTTCAGCTTCTGCATACATGTGAAACCGTAGGTATTTGTTGTTCCCTCTCTGACTTCTTTCACTTAGCATAATACCACTTAGGTCCACTCACACTGTTGCAAATGGTAGGATTTCATCCTTTTTTATGGTCTCGGCAGGCAACTTGACCAAGCTCTCTGCTGCCCTTATCCTGAGAGGGTTTTCCCTTTTAGCATCTGTCATTGTTCATACTGTTGTTGCCGGTTTTGGTGCTGTGAACAGAGGCCTCGCCACCTTCCCACGCGTTTACGAATAAGGAAGCACGTCACAACAATGGAAATGATGTATGTCCAACACGCCTTCGCGTAGAGCACTTGTGCGTTGTTTCGCAGGAGGCACTCTCTGTCTTCTAGATGAAGTCAATAGGTTTTGAGATTAAGCTGCAGATAACATGGGAAGCCAGAATGCAAACTCCTCTGTCTTTTAACTCTGCGTAGTTGCTTCATTTTGTTGCCATTCTGAGCAACTGTTGTGTTTCTAACTTTTGGAATTTAGTATAACTGTATAGAAAAGTTAGAAGAAACCGTCAAAGTTTCACTTGAAACTTTTGATTGGCTTCAGATGAAGACAAAGTTGTTTCTACTCTACAGTAATAAACACTTTAAGATAACAAAACATTTAGGTAATGTAGCATTACCAAAGGTGAGTTTTAAGGGAAAGTTTTCTCCCTGGCAATTGGATTTGATTGTCCATAGAATATCTCTGTAAATGTCCAGGGTTTTTATTTATTGGTCAATAAATTCATTTATTTTCAGAGTATATTTCTTCCAAATTTAGGTACTACTTGATTGGGCAAGACAGTCATTAGTTGCATTTTATAAGAAAAAACTTGAACTGAAGGAAGACATTGTTGAAAGGCTTTGGAGCTACATAGATAACATTCTGCATAGCAAAAAATTACAGAATCTCCTCAAGAATGGAAAGACAATTAACCTTCAGGTTTCCCTAATCAAGGTAATAGTTTCTTGTGTTGTCCTGTATGTATTACATGCACTGCTGTTGATTTCCTGTCAGTGTTGAACGCTTACTTGTTTTAAGGTTAATATGTGAAGATGGAGGAAATGTCAAGGTAGAGAAGAAGGAAATAATGTTAGAGTTAAAATAATGACTGGTATGCATCGAGTGAGTATACTCTGCACTGTGCTAAGTACTTTGTTATTTCATATTCAAGAAAAGCTCTTAGACCTTTTCACGAAGTGGTTGTTGGTTACCTTTTTAATTGGAAAAGATAGCCAGCAAATGATGCTACTTTGTGATTTTCCCTCCCACCGCTCTGTTGGCCTGAAGGGGGATCAGAGGCCAACGTCTAGATAGGCATTGCCCTTGATTCTTGACTCAAAGTGATTTTGAAGCCTCAAATCGGAATTATGAGCTTCATTGTCAAAGCTGAGTATTTGGAAATACTCTGAGAATGGCCGGTGACAATGAAAAGCACTAATAACGAGCACTGAGCCTCACAGAGGATAAGTAACTTGCTGAAAGCCACCCAGCAGGTGAGTGGCACAGGCGGCCTAGTAACCGCCTGTGCTCTTCACCGGCACGCGGCCTCACCCACACGCGTGCAGGAAGAAAGGGAAAACCAGTACACGCTGGGAACAGAAGAATGAAATAGTTGAACTGCCTGATGGTTCACAGGCTTTAGTGGTTCTTGAAATGATGTTCTAAATTGCATGTCACTTTCTAGAAGAATAGACTCGTGACCACTGAAGTGGTCATTCCGAATGGTCTTTTGGGAGAATGGGGAGAAAATCTTACAACATCTCTGCATGTTTTAACAAAGTCATTTTAAAATTTATGTGTGCTTTATAATTACATAAGATATTAATTCTGTAGTACATGCATTCATTGGATAAATAAACTACCCTTATTTGGGTATAAATGTGGGCAAAATGTTGTAGTTGAGTCAGGTGATCAGAAATATTGAGAGGTCACTGTAGCAGTGCATTGGCATTTAAGTATTTGGCATTTTCGTTCCAGCAGTTACTTGAATGGAGATGATCATACTTGTCATTGGGCTACTGATAATTTAGCACCTAGGATAAATTTGATTCCCAGATGCTGTAAGGCTGGGAGCAAGTTACTTAGCCTATGAGTGAATTTTGGAGTCTGTTCAGCTCTTATAATCTCTGTTGTTTGGCCCTGGCTGCTGTGGCTCAGTGGATTGAGTGTTGGCCTGCGAACTGAAAGGTCGCTGGTTCGATCCCCAGTCGGGGCACATGCCTGGGTTGCAGGCCAGGTTCCGTCTTGGGGGAGGTGTGAGAGGCAACCGATCTGGATGTTTCTCTCCTTCCTCCCCCCCCCATAAATAAATAAATAAATAAAGTCTTTAAAAAAACTTGTTTGTGGATTTCAGAATTTTGGAAGCAGTACACTATGGGTTTGCTGCATAATCTGTAGTAACTGAAAACATTTGCTTTCCTCTTTAAGAGTGCCTTTTGCTTTGGCCCGAAAAACTACAGGATCACAACACAGGCCACTATCCATCCACCTGTAGTGTCTATGCTGAATTGCAGGTTTAAGATCTTTGGAGTTTAAGCCTTATAAAACCCGGCTCTTTAAAAAGGGGCAGCAGATTTACAGAGGCACTGCTCTGCTCCCTTTTGTGAATTTATATTGGTAGGAGAAGGATGTGTGAAGGACTCTGGCATTTTTCTTTTATCAGGATGAGGGCAAGGGGTGAGTTGCTTGACTCTGCTGTGTTTTTTGTGTGTATGTGAGGGTTTGGGGTCAGTAATGAGTTTTCTTCCTGTCTCCATGCTCAGGTCATAAATGAGAGAATAGCTGAGCTCGCGCTCTTGGGATCCCAGGGAAACATCTCCGCTGTGCTTAGCTGCTGCCAGGGCATCCTCTCGACGCCTGGCCTTGCTGTCATCTACACGGCCAGACAGGAGCTGATGGTGGCCTTGCTGAGCCAGCTGTGCTGGTCGGCCTGCAGGCAGCCAGAAGGAGCCGTGGTAGCCCTGTTATTCGAGGTCATTCACCTGGCCCTTGGCCATTACCTCTTGATCCAGAAGCAGCAGGTGAACCCAAGGCGCGCCTTTGGAGAGCTGACCGGGCATCTGCTCCAGCCCTGCCTGGTCCTGAGGCAGCTGCTCTTGGGGGGCACGTGGACGCAGGCCGGCCAGGGCCAGCTGCGGCAGGCGCTGAGCCGGGACCTTCGGAGCCAGATCGAGGCCGTGCTTCGCGGTGGCGCCTTCCAGCCCGAGCTGCTTTCCTCCTACAAAGAGGAGCTCCTGGACCAGCAGCAGGGTGACACGAGGGCGGGGGCCATGAAGAACCTCCTGGCGCCCATGGGCACCGTGAGTGCCGGGCTGCTCGATGCCGGCTACTGCGAACCGCCCCTTCATGCTGCGGTCGTGGCCAACTCGGTGGCCTTGCTGTACAAGCTCTTTCTAGAGTCTTACTTCAAGGAGGGGAATCAGCTTCTCTGCTTCCAGGTGCTTCCCAGGCTGTTTGGCTGCTTGAGGATCTCCCGCCTGCAGGGGGAGCAGCTGCAAGCGCTGCCCACAGCGGACTGGACCACGGAGCTCCTGGTTGTAGAGCAGCTGCTGAGTTCCGTGGCGAACAACAACATCTACAACATTGCGGCCGATAGGATCCGGCACGGGGAGGCCCAGTTCCACTTCTACCGGCGCGTGGCCGAGCTGCTGATAAACCACTCGCAGGCGTCCGTGCCGGCCTGGTTCCGCTGCCTCAGGGTTCTGATGTCGCTCAATCATTTGATCCTGGAGCCGGACCTGGACGACTTGTTGGCTTCGGCTTGGATCGATGCAGACGTAACAGAGCCTCGGACCAAAAAGGCCCAGGAGGCCCTCATCCACACTCTCTTCCAGACGTATGTCAAACTCCGACAGGTGCCACGGTTGTTCGAAGAGATTTTGGGGGTGATGTGTCGTCCAGCTGCCGAGGCGCTGAGGCAGCCCGTGCTGGCCGCGGGCCCCTCCGGGGTGCTCTGTGAGTGCCTCCTGGAGTTGCCGCCAAGTCAGATCTTGGACACGTGGTCCCTGGTGCTAGAGAAGTTCCAGTCACTGGTCTTGCCCTGTTTGCGGGATGATGCCGACATGCCCTTGAAGGCGCTGTCCCTGAGCTCCCTGCTGCACTGTATCATGTTCAATATGAGGAGCCTGGACAGCAACACCCCCCTGCCTGTCGTCAGACGGATGCAGGGCACAATGGAGAGGATGCTCCGGGAGCTCGTGCAGCCCCTGCTGGACCTTCTCCGGGACCCCCCGCGCCCAGAGCCAGATCTGTGGCTACAGAAGGTCAGTGACTCTGCGCTGCTGCTCGCCCACACCTGGGCGCAGGTCGACACCATGCTCAGTTTAAACTGTAGCCAATATCACGCTGTGTCTGGGGCTCTTACAGGTGTTACTCTGGAGATCTCGACCCTCCCTTTGTTGCTCCCAGGTGTAAAAGTACACCATTGGAAGAAGATAGAAAAGGTCGCAGCTCAGTTTGACTCCCTCGGCAGGTATTGCTTAGAACAGCTCTACTTGCAGAAAATGAAAAGGACTTTGATGCAGACTGGTTTCCAGTCTGAAGAAGCCCTCCGTACATTGAGGAATGATGCCGCCTACATCCTTGCTTCTGGCAGAGGAAGCTTGACCCAGGGGATGCCAGCTTCCTGGGATGGCCAGGTGGGGACAGTGAGTGCCACCACCTACCCCGTGGCTCACTGGCACTTGATCGTGTCGAATCTCACCATCTTAATATCCTATCTCTGTCCAGATGATGTGAGATACCTGGCCAGTGTCCTCCTGAGAACTCTGCCAACGAGCAGAGGCCAGGAAGGCTCGGCAGACGAAGAGCCAAACATCACACTTGACAAGATATCCGAGGCCATGTTTCGCAGCCCTTTCTTTCCAGAGATGCAGTCCCTGTACTCTGCGTTCTTAGGGTGCCTCACGGAGAGGTGCGCCAGCATTCTGGGTTCTGGCGCGCAGAGCGGCCCGAGGCTTCTCAGTCGGCAGCTGCCCTGGCTTTTTGAAAAGGACCCCATGGATGTGGCTCGTTGGGAGTCCAGATTCGCCAAAGTTGGACCGGAAGGTGCAGAGTCAAGAGGAGAAATTGCCCAAAACTTACTATCCTTGGCCAAGAGTGACTTCCCTATCGAGCTAGAGGAAGAGCAGTTAGAGAGCATCCTGGGGCTTTTGGAAGTCGTTTCTGCCCTGCAGCTGGACTGCCTCGCAACTCCCCACCACGTGCACTGTTTCCTTCTGTTCCTGACCACGGCCATGGCCAAGCTGGGCCGCTCTTGCTCTTCCTCACAGACCCTTAAGTTTTTGGTGACTTGCTACCAGCTTCTTGGTTACCTGCAAAGAGGGAAAAGTGCCCGCTCCGTGCTCAAGGTCATGTACGTTAGTGATATTTTTGAAATCACACTGACCTCACTGTTCAAAGCCAGTAGTGGGTTTCGCATTTATAGGGATGACCCGTCTTGGCTGGAATTCCTCCAGGTGCTGGGGACGTTCTTAGAACAGCTCATGCAGATGCTGGTCCAGATGAAGCTCAGCCTCGTGCTCAATTTTGGGAAAATCATTGAATTCCTCACAAGGTGCAAAGTGCACACTGAAGCAACGTCAGGCCAACAGGGGAAAACCCAGAATCCTCTGGGCCGGCAGCTTCTTCTGGTGCCTTTAACTGCGTTGTGCCAAGTCCTGGGGCCTTTTGTCAGGGAGCGGAGGCAGCAGCCCGAGGCCCCGGAAGTGCTGCTGGGGCTCCTGCAGCAGGCGGTGCTCCAGCTGGGTGCCCTGCTGCAGCTGGGCGCGCCTCGCGGGGCCCGGGGGCTGCACTCCGCCTTCCTCTCCTCGGCCTGCACGCTCTTGGAAGCGGACGCGGGCCAGCACTCCAGGCCCGGGGGGACAGAGATTTCACAAGCGACGGACAAAGCGCCGCTCTCCCATCCCGCGTTCTACCAGCGGGTTTATTCGCAAGTACTGGCTGCGTTGCCAGCCCTGGCTGGACACTCCCAGTCCTTCCAGGCAGCTGTGCGGTTTTTAACCCTCTTCTCTCTGAACCCAGAACTGCACCCCAAGAAGGAGTCTGTTTTTACCTCCATGTTCCATTCTGTGAGAAACGTCCTCGCAGGTAAGACATTTTCTCTCGAGCTAAATCTGTACTCTGCGGTTTTTGGTAAAAGCTGGCAAAAGGGTCCTCACGGTGCGTCGCTGTCCCTCCGCTTTTAGGAACAGGTGTTCATTTCCAAAGGTGTAATGTGTGACTGGTGAGGAAATCTCCCTTCCAGGCCCTCAGCTCCCCTCCCCGCATTCCTTTCCAGTCTGTGTGTTCTCTGCGCTGATTAGCGTCACCTTCCTAGTGTCCCTGTGTTCGACACGCACAGTAGCCTTCTAGGTATGGGCCTTAGTGTCCTGGTTTTTCAATGATTTTGGAGAGAGTTCTAGTTTTTAGTTTTGAAATCTCTGCTTCTCTTTCCAGCTTTTATCTGTTCTGGCCCTGGATGGTCAACAGAGATCATTTCATTCTTATGAGCAGACTCTTTATAGCAGATCCTCAGTGCCAGCAATTGAGTTAATAAATACACAAAATCTGCCCACATCTGAAAAGTGACAGTGACTTAATTTATAGGAAACCTCATAAAATTAAGCCCCCTGGGTTTCACGGTAGTGCTGGCCGTCGTTGGCACCGTGGGTGCCAGTTGGCTCCGGTCGTGATGTCATCGCGGTGTTTTAGAGGGATGCACGGGACTGCAGCGCCAGCCAGGGTCTCCCTGCACGGGGATTCCGCATCTGCCGTCCCCGAGGTCATACGAAGGTTAACGGGCCAGATTTTTTTTTTTATCCCTGTTTCAAGACAGCACATAGCACGTGCTGCAGCTGGCGTGCGTTTGTTTTCTTTTCGTTTTGGTTGTTACTGGGGGTTGAGGTTAGGACGGATCTTCGGAGGTGAGGCTGGGGAGTCCGTCGGCCAAACCTCACCCTCAGGACGCATGGCAGCGCCTCCGCTTCCCAGTGGAGAAGCCGCGATGGGTGAGGAGGAGCCCCAGGCGCGCTCAGATACGAAAGTGGCAGAGGGGGCCTTGAGGAGGGGCAGCGCCTGGGCCAAGGCCAGGCTGAAGCGCGGAGGCCTGGGTAGAGCTGCTGGTAGCTCCCTTTCAATGGCCTTTCTGTCTCTGCCTTGATTGTGGGTGGACTGAAAGGTGGGGGCGACATCGCCCGTCTTGTTCTGTCAGCGACGCTTCGGGAACTGTGCTCACCTTCTGAACGGAGGCTAAAATTCAGCCTTTTATTAACACTCAATGGACGTCCTAAGAAATGACAGCTGGTAGTCTGAAGCTCTGGCCCTGTGCCCCTCTGTTAAATAGGACACTGTGCCCTCCTGTGTCCCTCCAGCCCCACGAGTCCAGGTGGTCTCTCAGCCCTAACTGTGTGTCCCAGGACTTGTGGTACCTCTGACCTCAGGCATGGAGCGTTGTTCAGGGTGGCCCAGAGGCAAAGCCAGCCACTCCGCTGCCCCCTCTGACCATGGCCAGGCCTCACTCCTGGCTGCTAGGCTCCATGTGGGGAAGGGACCAGAGCGGTGAGAGGTCTGGACGGAAGGCCAGCTGAGGAGCAGCCCGAGGCCCGGGGTGGGGAGAGGGAGTGTTAGGGTGTCTGCGAGTGCCTGAGGGGCGGCGACCTGTGTCCTCGGGTGATTCCGCTATGTTTCACCCCTAGAAATGACAGCAGAATAGACTACCTTCATTCCATGACAAAAACCGTCACTGTTAAAAATGCTTCACACATGGAACCAGATCCTATTTGGAGATGAAGTATTGATTTTGATCTAAGTAAACAGATATTTACACAGATCGTAGGAATGACTCAAATTATGTGACGTGAGCCAGGCTGGGATGCGGGTGGGGAGTGTGCCCGCGGGCAGAGCCCTGGGACGCGGCGGCGGAGGAGGGAGCGGGGCCGGGGGGCGCCGAGCCTTCCACGTGGCCCGCACTCCGGGGCCAGCCACTGCGGCTGCTGCCGTTGGGTCCCTTTCACTGGTGAGGGAGTTGGGGCTCAGAGAGGCCACGAGTCCAGGATCTCACAGCTTTAGGAGACCGGCATCCAGGTCTCTCATGGTCTTTGGTCCTTCTGCCATCAGTGCCACAGACAGTGAGTCAATACTGAGGTGTAGGGGACCCTTGGGAAACAGGCCACCGTCTGGGAGCTGAAACGTGGCTGGAGAGAGAAGCTGTGGTCAGATGGTAAAGGGCCTTGGGTGTCCTAACTTGGGGGTCAGTAACGGAACTGTGGGCCAGGGGACCCAGGGACACTTAGCAGGCTCTCCTGCTTTGCGTGGGAGACAGCCGGGTGGCCACCATCGGCAGCGCCCGGACCTTGAGGGTTCCTTCATCGCTTCAGCACGCCCGTGTGTTTTAAAAGTGCGAGCCTGCCTCTGCTGGTTTTATAAGAGTTCGAGGAAAGCAGAAAAAGCCAGAAAGCGAGCAGCAGCCCCCTGTCTTCCGCGGTCCAGAGGGAAGCCCGGCTGAGCGTTGTTGCTGCCCTGTCCGCTCGGCTCGCCTCTGCTCCGTGTGCGTGAGAAGCGTCAGGCTGCGAATGCGGGTGCCCTGCCCTGGGGGCATTTCCATGTCCCGGGAACAGTGCTGTGCGCGGCTGTGCACTGTTTTATCCCGGGGCTGCTCCCATTTATTTCACCTCCCCTCATCCATCCCATCTTAACGGTTTTGATTTCTTTTCCACGCAGATCCTGCAGTTCCGGTTCAGGTAGTTCAGGATATTGAGCCTCATTTGGGAGCCTTGTTCACCCACATGCTAGAGGCAGGGACGACCGAGGACTTCAGGACGATGATGCAGTGTCTTCTCCAAGGGCTGGACGTCAGGAACGCGTGGAAAGCGGACCAGCCGGTGGGTCGCCCCGCCCTCCCCTGTCTGGCAGGCGCATGAATGATGGTAGCAGCTCAAGCGGGAAACCTGAGATGCGTGTCGCCCCTGTAACCAAACACAAAACCCAACAGAGACTCCCGGCAGAGACGGGTTCGTGGAGGGAGCACAGGCTTGGGGGCCCTTGTTTCCAAGGGGGACGTTTTCAAATTGCAGCTGTGTTCTCATTACGTGAAGCACTAAATATTGCATACTCAAAATAAACGCATGAATACAGTTAAGTCCTGCTCATCCTTTCCCAACATACTTTTTGGAAATTTTACTTGATTTGGTCAACAGTCCAGATCCCCTTTGAGAATCACTCAGGTTAGCAAGCCGCCCTTCTGTGCTCTGCACCTCTGTTCATTTGGTATGAAATACGTTCAAATGGTAGAAGCCCTGTGTTGAGGCATTTGGGAGAAGCATTTGGCGTTGGTGCTGTGGAGAGCCTCTGTGTAACCCATGGGATGGCATTTGGTCCTGTAAGTGGCCCTGAGCACTGGACTGGCCCGATGTCCTTCTTGCACAGGAGGAGAGGGTCACAGAGCCAGCTGTCACGGTGCCAGAGTTACAGGCCGGGTTTTCTGCTGCTGAACGTTCTTTGCCTCCTGAGCGGCTTCTTGCTTCTTGCTTGTAATCGGCACAGGGACTGGGCTTGATTTGGGTGGGAGGGGAGCTGGAGAGGGTCCTCGAAGTGAGACTGGGGCCGCAGAGAGAACTCTCATCTCTTGCATGTGAGTTGGAGGCCCGGGCTGGACCGGGCCAGCTTCTCTGCCACCCGCCGCCCGGGCCCGTCTCTGGGAGTTTTCGCTGTGCGTGTCTGCAGTACGATTGGGCCCTGGCTTCGAGGAGGCCTCTGGGCCTCCTTCCGGCGAGTCAAGGAAAACCAGACGACAGCTTCGCATTCAAACCAGTTGGGTAGTCAGAGAAGAGTCATGGAGGCGATGGTGAGACCTGAGCCCAGCAGTTAGAGATGGAGGCGATTTGGGGGGGTGGCCCAGAGCGGGGGGACGTTGCCAAGAAGACAAAGAGGAGGCTGGTGTGGGCACCACACGGTGAGCAGAGGATGTGTGTGCGTGAGAAGACGGGTGGGCACGGGAGGTGCGGGCGGGCGGGAGGTGGGGGCTGCCTCTGGTGGAGGAGAGTGTGCCTCGACCTGTTTGCCTTCCCGTCCGCACCCCGACTGGGGATCGAACCCTCAACCTAGGTATGTGCCCTGGCCGGGAATCGAGCCTGCGGCCTTTCGGTGACTGGAACGATGGTCCAACCACCAGCCGGGGGTGACCCCTGGGCTCTGCTCTGTGCCTGCAGCACCAGTGACTGGCTTCTTCCCAAGGTGGGCTTCTTCAGAGAGAGTTGACTATTTCTGCTAAGTTTTTTCTCTTTTTTCCTTAGGCCATTTTGTCATCTCTGACACTGATCAAGTTGCTCCTGAACTGCCCATTCGGTGGTGAGAAAGCAAGCCTGTTCTGGCGCGCGTGCCCCCAGATAGTCACGGCCCTGATGGTGAGTGCTCCGCCCGCCCCCTCCTCCTGGCAGACACGAGGCGGAGCTTGCTCCTGCCGCCCTCGGGTTTGTGCCCTCGAGTGTCCCGGGGGCTGCGTCCCGAAGGCGGCTGGCAGCCGAGGGCGCTTCTGCCCGTGGGTGTCCTGCTGCCTGTACGCGTCAGGGTCATCGTAGCAGACGCGGGTACAAGGGGTGTGCAGGGCCATCGGGGAGCCTTAGGAAGCATTGGCTTTTGATTTGTGCTGGATGACAAATCCAGTGTTTGTTGGTTGTAACGGTATTAACCCCCAGGAGGTGACGCGTCAGTTCTGGTTGGTAACTGTCCAGGGGTGAGAAGCCCCTGTCTCCCCGGGCCAGGCCGTGACCCCCCAGACAGGCAGCAGCAGGAGGGATGTGGTGACAGATGAGGCTGCCGGGGAGGCCTGTTTACATTAGATGAGATGGGAAGGAATTCTGGAACTTTCTTTGTCCCTACAAAATTTTGTGATCAGGTTTGTGCATTCATTTATTCTAGGCATGTGTGCGAAGTCTGATACAGTGAGAAAAAGAAGGCTCTGTAGATCGGTATAGTAACGTCGTAGACAGAGTATTGTTACGGTCCCACCCAAACATTATGTATTGGCCTCTGGTGGCATTGCACAGTGACCAGAGGACTTTTTGTTTCACTAGAGCAAAAGCTGACGTGAGATTGGGACTGTCTCAGGGTTTCTGTCCTCTGAGGAGTCTGGTATCAGTATTTTACTTCAGTTCAAAAGATCAACATCTATTTTACCATTGTTATCAGCTCTGATGCCAGCTTCTGCTACCTGAGAGAATTGTCCTGGGTTAGCATATTCTTAGGGAATGGGGTCTAGAGAATAGACTTACTCTTTCTTTAAAAAAAAAAAAATTATTAATTTTAGAGAGAGAGGAAGGAGAGGGGGGAGGGAGAGAGAGAGAGAGAAAGAGGAATATCAATGTGTGAGAGAAACATCTATCGGTTGCCTCCCATATGCACCCTGACCAGGGATCAAACTTGCAACCTAGGCATGTGCCCTGACTGGGAATCGAACCCTCAGCCTTTTGGTGTATGGGACAACACTCGAACCAACTGAGCCACGCTGGCTGGGGCGTGACTGAGTCTTCTCTCTTGTTCTTCTGTTTTGTTGCTTAGTTGTTTCCCTGGGAGTCTATGGCAGTAGGCAAATCCCTTCTCTCCCTGTGTGTGTGTCGGGGCGGGAGGGGCGGTGGGTAGAGTTGGGGAAGAGGAGCCGCGTGGCTGGTGGTCAGTGCTGGCTGTGTGCACAGTAGGTCTGCACTGAAACACACGCCAGGCCAGAAGTGGCTTAGATAAATCTAAACGGGGTAGCACGGAGCCAGCACAGCCAGAGGACCCAGGAAAAGAGGAGCGTCGTGAGAGACGGGTCCCAGGAGGCCTCAGCAAAGGCGCTGTTTACAGATGGCTGCGTAGGAGGGGCGTGGGTCACAGGCGAGTGCTCCCAGGTTCCCAGGGAAGAATGCGCCAGCCCTCGTCTTGAGTCTGTTCTCTTTGTGACCTGGAACAATAATGGAACATCTTCAACTAGAGCTGATTGTTAAGAAATGTAACAAATGGAGTTTAATTACAGACACATAGAACTGGTGCTTTTTTTAGGAAAATACTGTCCTGTTGTGTCTGATGTGAAGTTTTCTTGTTTCGAGAAACTAGATGAATCAGTTCTCTGATAAATTACTTCTCATGGTAGACGAATGCCACCAAAAGTGTGGCCCCAAACGGGCAAGTCCATAGTGGTCACCCTGGGAGACGGGACACTGGCCTCCTTTTCACCTCCAGCTCCCCATGGATCACGTCACATCAGTGCGTGTGGCATTTTGGACATTCTTCTGTCACTTCCGCTCCTCCCTCTGTTGGCTTCAGTTTTTGTCATTTCTTTTGAGGATCGCCTTCATTTCCTCTTTCTTCTTCCTGCTTGGCCTGCAGCTGCAAAACCGAGAGGCTTGTCACGAGCAGCCCGTGCCCTGGGCGGTGGTGGAGTCCGTCTTGGACGTGCTGGCCGCGCTGCTGCGGCAGGGGGAGGAGGCCATCAGCAACCCGCACCACGTCAGCCTGGCCTTCAGCATCGTTCTGGCAGTCCCCCTGGACCACCTGAAGCCCGCAGAGTACGGGAGCATCTTCCCGAGGGTGCACAACGTGCTCTTCTCCATCCTGCAGTGCCACCCGAAGGTGAGGGGGCGGAGGAGGACCAGGGTGCGGGCAGCCTGTCCTTGGTCAGCAGGGTAATTTTGCTTGCAGAAAAGCGGCAGTAAAACGTCACTGTTGCAGGATAATAAAAATAATGATTTGCTAGGGGAACAGTCGGTTCCAGGAACTTCCAGGGCCAGAGTGGTTTCTCAGGCACAGGAGTGCTCGACCTTCCCACCGTGCTCTCTGAGTGAGTTTATCTTTGTTGGATCTGATGCTTTGAGCAGCATTTGTGCGCTAGCAATTTAAGGAAGCTCATTAGAAATTACTCTGTTTTTGCAGGTCATATATTTAAATGGCACTCACTTGCTTAGCTTTCTTCTTGGGCCTGCAAAGCAGATGGGTCCCAAAAGTGAGGCATCCTGACTCCCGGTTTTCAATGTGCTGCCGAGCTGAACGGACGCTAGAAATGAATGCCTCATAGAACAGAGTCCAGCTCAGCCCGCGTTCATTGAACATGCCCCGCTACAGCAAGTTCAAGTGGGCAGTAATCCCATTTTATGGATAAAGAAACAGAGGTGCAGAGTCGCTAAGAGACTTGACCAACGTCGTCAGTCTAGTCTAAGTCTTAGATTCAAGACTGGACTTCTCTGGCCAGGTGTCCTTTTCACTGCACCACCTCCGTCCTGTGGGATGCACAGGAACTCATAAATAAGGAGAGGGACCCACAGCCACGGGCACGTTCACATCGTTGTAAGCGTTTTAACGTTCTAAGGTTAGAGACCTGCCAGCAGTGCAGTTTTGAAAACATTTATCCTCTGGCAAACTAAGCACTCATGATACTGGGCCTCATTCCAGTGCCTTCCGCATGTAACAATTGCCTTTGGCCCTGCCCGTCCTGTCCACATCTTTGTTATTAAATCTCTCTGCTGATTGTTAGTGTTTTATGTGACAGTACAATATAAATGCAATAGCAAGCAATTACAAGCTGGAATTGCAGGTCTCACAGAAGATGCAGGATTTCATGCAGCTGCTGAACGTAATGTTAACTGTGTAAATCTCCTGCCAATGACCAGGGAGCAGAAGCAGACTGTTGAATGAGAGCACTGGCCAGGATAATGATGTGGTTTTGCAATAAGGGATGATGTGACTAGTAATAGTTGCTCCCCTCATATAGCCCGTGGGGTAGAGAGCAGGAAGAGGGGCTCCACGTGGGGCGTGGTCAGTGTTGGCTGTGTGCATAGTAGGTCCGAGCTGATGAAAGCATTAGGCTAGACTCTGCGTAGGGAAGTCTGGCGGGGATGGATGGCGTGACGTGGGCCCAGGCAGAGCACCCAGCAGGACGAGCAGCGCTGGTGCTGTTCCAAGCACTTCACGTGTTTATACGCATTTGATTGTCATGACCGGTTACTCTCACTTTGCAGATGTGGAAACAGGCACAGGAAGGTATAAGCCAGGGCTGAACTCAACAGTCCAGCCCGGGATTTGTGCACTTTTAATTATATGATAGCAGAGGATTAACAGAGATTTCTTGGAAGATTTAACGAAGGTGTGGAATACTTCTGCAAAAATGACCTTTTTCCGAACACACTGCAGAAGCTGATAATTTGATGAAAAGAATGTGATGTTATGTTACCAAGAGCTTGGTTGGATAAATTATACCGAAGGGGAGAATTCTGGCCCTGGCGGCTTTATTGTTTGTCCGTCCTCAGGATGAGAGCGGTGCTGCCGGGAGGGTTGTCAGCGGTGGGGACACGCTCTGGGTTTGCACCGTCCGGCATCATAGCTTCCGGCCACACGGGTCTTGGCCACTTGAAATATGGTCTAGGAACTGTATGACTAGGAAGTGAGTTTCAATTTCAGTTAGTAAGTAGCTACGTGTGGCTTGCTCGTGGCCGCTTTATTGGACAGTATGTTGTTTTGATCATGATCTAAGGATGGTTGATTATAAAAGAAGCATGTTTTATAATTCCTTATCATTTTTCAAAATAAAGTCCCAGCCAGCCCTTTTCATCACTGAAAAAAAAGGCATTTTGATCCTTATTTTAAATGGATTTGCTTTTATGGAGTCTTTTTTCAAGTGCCAGTTGTCCTTAAATACATTGGCTGTTGTTCTTTTTATTTTTTATATCTACCCATTTCCAGAATTCACTAGTAATAGCTTACAAAGACACAGATTTGGCACATTCTAAAGTAGGATCACCCCATTACATTCCTAACGTTATACAGAATGGAAATCCTACCTCCGACCTTAAATGTTAAAGAGTCAAGTACGTTGGTTGAGCAATTTCCCCGGAAAGTCCAGGGAAAAAGAAGTTGCCTCCAACTGTTTTGAGCATCCTGATAGATGAGGTTAAGAAGGAAATAAAGATGAGCTCCTTGTAAGAGAAGTTGAAATAAACAATTACCTATATATTTTTATATTCTCTTGTCTGTTACCATTACAGGTAATGCTGAAAGCCATCCCTTCTTTCTTGAACTGCTTTAATAGGTTGCTGTTTTCAGTTATTCATGAAGGACGGCAGAAAGATAAAGGTAATGTGGACCCACGGCATCAGCTACATGATTTCAAACATGTTTATCTTGTGTTTCTGGCCACGTATGTTACTGAAAATAAAACCACCCTGTTGAGTTTAAGTAAGAGAAATTTTCAGATATCAAATGAATACTCAAAGCAATTTTTTGAGAAATTTCAAACTGTCACTGTTTTTTTTACTGTATCCCAGAACAGTGAATGCATTTGATATCTCCTAATTGAAATAGTCCTTTTCCTGGAAAAAATAAGTATCTAGATTCAGGAAATATTTGCTCTCATAAAGGGGGTATAAAAGCGACTGCAATCCCATTGGGCCTTAAGGACTTCATGTTTTAATGGGGACATTAAAAAGGAATGGGCGGGTGTAGAGCTATCTCATTGCATAAAAGGGCGAATTCCTCCGGCAACGCCATTCCAGCCCCTTCTTGGCCAAGTCCTGTTTGCTCACCAGTGAAGCAAGCTGCCACTGGCAATAGCATAAATCACACGCACAGCTTGTTTTCCAGCCTTGAAGTGTGTTGATTCTTGCTAAATTTCTAATTTGGGGAAGAGTCACATTAACTAAAAATTTGCTTATGAAGCGAGACTGTCTCTTGCGCTCTTTCTAATTTGCATGGCATGGACCGGCCTCGTGCCGCCCGCTGCGCTGAGCGCGTGGCCGGGGTGTGTGAGAGCCCTGGCAGCGCACGGGAGGGTTTCTAAGTCGCCTTGTAGAGCGGCAGGGAGGACCCTGGGCTGCGGTCCCGGACGGACTAGAAATGCTTGAGTGGGGCTTGACTTCTCCCCGCTGCCAGTATGAATCGCTTTAGTAGGTTCATTCTTGTAGCCCTAAGCTGTAACTACTTAAACCAGCTAACGTTTGAGGAAAGAGAAAAGGTAATAGTTACCACTGCACTGTAATCCCCAAATTATTCTGCCTGGTTTGGGGGTTAGTTGGGGATTCCACAGTTAGGTGTTTGGCTTCCTCCCGGCTGGGTGCAGAGCATGCCCCAGTGAAATACTGTGAATATATTTAGGAGCAGGACTGGGAAACAGGTTCCGGGTGCCCTGCTGGCCCTGGTCCGCTGGTGGCGCTAATGGCAGTTCCGTGTCGAGGCCTCTGATGTCACGTGTCAGGTCGGCAGGCCAGAGTCCCTGTTCCAGCTGGCCAAGGCTGCCATGGCCGGAGTTGCGACACGGCAGCGAAGGGGAAGCCCTGGGCCCGGCCTCACCTGGAGCAGAGCGGAGCCCGGGTCACACGCTGGCACAGGTGTGTCCTTCGTCCCGGGAAGCCCAGGCGCACGTGACTCAGGCGTGGCTCTGTTCCGCACGGCCCCGCTGCCTCCACGCTGGAGCAGCTCGGCCACCTCCAGTCGGCCGAGACGCGGCGCTCTGATGCGCTTGGCGCCTGGCCGAGTGGAACTTTCACTGTGGACTCTCTTGGTTGGTGCCCAGTGCCCTCTTTAACGACCGCACATTACGCCTGGCATTCGTGCTGCGAGCTGCGTGTGGAACAGTCTCAAAGGAGAGAAGGGAGGATATAGTGTGTATTACCTGTTGGAGGTAATTTAACATTGCCTGTTGCCATAGCCAAGGGAATGTGAGCAATTAACAGGATTTCATGAAATTATATTGATCTAGAAAAATTGCACATACATATTTGTATGCATAATCGAGATTTTAAAAAAGACACTGTATATTCTAAGATTCAAATTTGTTAAGGCCTAATATATGGGGAACAAACTGCATTCATTTAAAGTATATGATTCATTGCGCTTTGATAGGTAACTACACACAGGGCATCACCCCCGCAATCAAAATACAGAACATTTGCCTCCCCAGAAGAGGCCTCCTGCAGTCCATTCCCCAAGCCTGGCGCCAGCCCCAGGCAACCGCTGGTCTGTTTGTCGTCACTGCAACCGTTTGAAGTTTCTAGCATTTTGTGAAAGCGGGTATAGTGCTCTGGCGAGTGATGAGAGCCAGGGCAGGCACTCCGACCGGTGCCGGGTTCCCGCCTGGGCGCCGTGGCGAAGGCCGGGGGAGCCGCTGAAACCACGCTGTGGGTACCATGCCTGCTTAACTCCCTTGGCTGGTCTGAATTCTCGAGTGGGGTTTCTTAAGAAGGGCCTGGATGGCCTGGCACCTTAAGGTGGAAAGAACTAGGGGCCAGAAAGAACCCGGGGAAGGCAGTGATGGTAGCTGAGTCTTATGTATATGTATGTATCTGCCTAAAAAAGAAAAATCCTACACAGTTTCTAAAGTGTAAGGAGGCAATGACATCCTTAGGCCATCTGATCTCTCAAATCATATGATGTTAGAAACCATTTTCAAAGAGAATTTTCCATTTATTTCTCCCTTTTGAAGGCTTCCTTGTAGAAATCCATCTCCTTTTTAAATACAATAGCTATTCTTTCATCCTAAAAAGTCTGGATGATTCTCAATAAACTCTTAATAAAAACCATGTACTCTTGATTATTTTAAGTATTCTTTCCCTTGTTATGTAGATAAGTATTTGGACATATCCTCTCTCATTCTGTCTGCAAAACAAGCTAATTAAAGAGTGGGAAAAGTGGAAGATTTGAATAATTTGGGGCTACAGTAAAAGTATAAAATGAGAAGAATTAAGCACATGGCTTGGAAGTAATCGGTTTGGAAACACGTTGCTCCTGTAGGGAGTGCGGACGACCTTCCGGTGGTCCTGGAGTGCGCCCGCCTGGTGGAGAGGATGTACAGCCACATCGCGGCTCGGGCTGAGGACTTCACGGTGTTCGCCCCCTTCATGGTGGCCCAGTACCTGACGGAGCTGCAGAAGGTAAGCCAGGCGGACGGCCTCTTGCCGCGTGCCTCCCTCCGGAGTCCTCTGCAGCGGGGCTTCTCCGCCCAAGGGGCAAGCGCCACTTGCGGCTGCTCCTCCTCCGTTGTGGCGGGGTGTCCTGCCGGCCCCCGGGTGTGGAGCAGGGCTGTGGGGACCGGGCGAGGTGACTGTCGGAGGGCTGTGGTGCTGGGACAAGGAGAGCACGCGGTGACCGCCGGGCCTCCTTCCTGCCCCAGCACACGCCTCAGGGCCTGCTCTGGTGAGGCTCTTGGGTGCTCAGGGAGGTGAAATGCCCCGGGCCTCAAGGGCAGAACCGGGCTTATTGGCGACCAGAAAGAGCGGACCTGGGGCCCCTGGACAGCAGGAGTTAACGGACGTACAGTCGTCAGGCCTGTTGTGCATGTGACTCAGCCGCCCTCGGGCCCTCAGAGTAGATGACATGGCGGAGACACCAGCAGAGCGGTGTTAAAGCCATCGGTGAACTTGTGACACCGGAGACGCTGCGTTCTCCGAGGGCCGGGAGGCTGAGTGCGCTTCCTCAGAAAACCTGGCGTGGTGTCCTCGTCCCCCGACCCTGTTTCAGGATGGGCCTGTCACCGCCAGTTGTCAAACCCACTGGCCCTGTCCACCTCGGCCAGTGGAGATGCCCGTCACGTGTGGGCAGCGGGCCAGGTGGGGGACGGGGGCGCACGCCGTAGGGGCGGCCTGGCCCCGAGGGTGCGCACGTGGTCCCCGCCAGGGCCCTTCACCTCCTCCTCTGACGTGGGCTTGGAGTGTGCTTTCTTTGGAATTATTTGCCGTTTTTAGAGAATCTTGATATTTTTCCAAGCACTGAAGTCATTAATACATAAGCGTTTGCTGAAGGAAAAGCTGGCATTATTTTCTGTTTCACTGAAGAATAAAATGAGGCACAGTGATATCCCTTAATGAAGGGCCAAGAAGGGAGGCAATAATTTTTTGAACTCTTAAGTCATTAATTATTACTCTGAGATTTATTTCATGAAAAGTCACTTGTTTCCTGGCCTTATTACTCATGTCTAATTTATGTTGATCAGTTATTTTCTTCTCTGTAATCTTGGGAGCCAGAGGCCTTGGGAGTCATCTGAGGCTCTAGTGTCTCAGAATCCCTTGGCAGGAGAGCCCGTGTCTTATCTCTCATTTGTTTTTCGATTTAGTAATGCAGAAAGCATTCCATGTGCATCTACTGAGGCGTCTACTGAGAGAGCCATGCATCTTTCTAAACCAGAAAGACGTTTCGAAGATTAATTGCGGGATAGCGTTGTAGCTAAGCAAGCCCCCTCCACGTTCCCCTCGTAGTTCTGTGGAGTGGGGCATTGGGGGGGTCTGGCAGTCTTTCGAGCAGATGACCTGGTAGGACCGCGTCGTCATTCAGCAGAAGCCGCAACTCCTGCAGATCTTGTTCCTTCCGTGCAGCAATGTGTCACCGTGGCAATGAGTCAGGGAATTATGGTCACTTTCCTCTCTTACCCGTAGGTGAAATGTACAGCTGCCCCTCTCTGATGGCTTAGAGCGGCCGTTCGGCCTGCTCCCCCGCCCACGGTTCTGTTAAGCCACTCAGAGACGTTTCAGCTGTTGGCCAGTGATCTTTGTGCTGTAGGACTTGGCTGTTTTCTCTTGCTTTATAATACGTTGTCTGAAGCATGACACTGTGATAACCGCGTGGTTTTGGTGCTGCTGGCCCCCGGTGGCTCTGGGCCGTGCTTATGGGGTCCCGCCCGTGCAAAGGAATTGTGACGAGTGTGGCTTCAGGCCCCAGCTCTGCAACTGGGGAAGTCACTTCACCCCTTTTTGCCTTTGGAAGTGGAATTATTTGTTTAGTGTGTGGTGATTGAATGAATGAGTGGTCAACTTAAAAAGTCCTCACCCCACTGGTAAGATTAAAGACTTCTTTTGTTTTTCATTAGTCCTTTTTGTTTTTTTCTTTCTTTCCCTCTCTAATGCCCTACTGGGAAGTCACAGACAAGGCGGTGCACCTCCGGCCTTGGGTTCTTATTTATAAAACAGTACGATTTAAGCCGATCATCTGCCACACAGTTTTTGAACTGTCATGGGAAGATGATCATGACTTTGAAGAACAGTATCTTTTTAGTGCAGACACAAATAGTCTCCTTAGGAATCTGCCTCCCAGTGGTTGCCTAGGTGACTCAGACTCCTCCCAGTTAATAAGATCCTTCCCCACTGGAGGCTGTGGTTTGCAGAGAGGCATTGTGGTTTGCAGATGACCTCTTCTAGGTCACCAAGGACATGCGTAAAGAATCAGCCACATCCCAAGCCTCTCAGCTGGGACCTTTCGTCTGCTTTTTGTTTTCAGCTTTGGGGCTGTTCACACTCTGCTCAGAGCCAGGTTCGGCCGCAACCCGAGTTTCTGCTGCAAATGCGAGTGGGGCCTGTCTCCTGGCCTTTTGTCCAGATGTTGGTTCGAATCTCCGATCCGAAAGTTCGTGCATGATGTCCAGTACAGCCACGTGGGAGCCGGACCGCCCAGCCCCCTGCTGTGCTCCCGGTTTCGGTTAACCCAGAACTTCAGGAAAGGAATTGGTCCCTTTAGGTGCAGGGACCAGCCCAACCATTCTGGAGCAGTTAGGAACATAGGGCCAGCTGTGCCATTGTTGATGGAAATAAAAATGCCCAGTAAGTGGTAATCAAATCACACCTGATGTGGGGCAGCGTAAGGCGATCTGGTTGCTAATCGCCTGTCAGCGATCTGTTTGCAGAGCGTCAGAGCCCGCCTGTCCCGCTGCCCTGCCCGCCTGTTCGCCCGCCCGCCCGCCCGCCCTGGGGGCGGGGTCAGCCACGGTTGTCAGCTTGGCTGCTGGTTAGTATAGCTTCCAGCGTGACTGACCGTCTCGGGGAATTTCCCACCACATGCAGGCTACTCTTGCTATGATTTTTAAATGTAGAGTCCAGTTTTTAAATGCCCCTGTTAAACACATAGGCGTCTGTGTTCATTTTTCCAAAGCTCTCCCTGGGATGTTTTATTCCTTGGTTTTGTTCACTCGAGTTGGCTTCTATTTCCCCAAAATATAAACTTTCAAAATGTGAATATTCAGTTATATAAATTGTGTGCAGCATGATATTTTAAAAGGAGTGTCTTTCCTGAAGTTGGAGGCTGAAGTTCCGTGGCAGGTCTCCCGCGGGCCCGGCCTTGCCGTGTTTGCGCTCACAGAGAGGTGTGTCCTTCCCCAGGTCACCCTGTCCCCGGCCGTGAAGGACCCCCTGCAGGAGGGCATCTACCTGGTCCTGGACCTCTGCATCGAGCCCGACGTGCAGTTCCTCCGGGTCTCGCTGCCCCCGGGGGCCAGAGACGTCTTCAAGGAGCTGCACAATGACTATGTGAAGTACCACAAGGCGAAGCACGAGGGGGAGAGGAGGTACGCCGCCTGAGGCTGCGCCGCACCGCCGCCCTCGCCCGCGGGGAGAAGACCCTCAGGGGTTCTCGTCCGCCACGGGGACCATGCGGGAATCCTCCGGGGGTTATTTAATGTACATATTGTACTTTACAGTCATGTTTTCAACACGGAGTATTTTTTAACGTATTTTTAAAAATGCAGTAAATACTGCAATAGGATCCTGAAAATGACACCTTAGAATGAGGTGGACTCAATAAAAAATTGCTGAGCGTCTCTCGTGGCCATTCCAGATGCGGTTCCTGCCTCATTCCCTCTCTCCACTAGGAACTCTGTAGAACCTGTTGTTTTACTTCAGACCCCTGCCTGTATAATTAAACCCATTTAAATATCTTGGCCTTTTATCTTCCTCAGGTAACATGGGGAGCGCTGTTGAAATGGCACTCTTTCTGAGCCTGCCTTCTGCCGGGGCTGGGAAACCCTCCGTGGGGGCTGGGGGGCCGCTCCGGGCGGCAGGTAACCTGCCGTCGGTGCGGGCGGGTCGGGTGATCCGCTCTCCTGCCAGCCTTTCTGCTTCAACTCGGGGTTTATTTTAGAAGGTTTTTTCCATTCAGTCTAAGAAACACTAATTGTTTTTTTCTTATTACCTAAGCAATATATTTCATTGTAACAATCTCAGAAAAATAAAACTGAAAGGGTAAATAATTTGGTTTTTCATTTTTTTAAGGGAAAGAATTTTAAAAGCATTTAGTTTCAGCCTCTTTGCTTTCCTTGAAGTACTTAGTTTTCATCCCTTTGAAATACACACACACACACACACACACACACACACACACACACAGGTAGTTGCCAAAATGGATCATAAATCCAATTTCTTTTGTATTAGTTACCTAACTTCTTTTCCTCTATAAAAGTTCCATAACATCTTCAGGTCTATAAGGCATTTGAAATACTTTTTAATGGCTTCATTAAAAATAGTCCATTGACTAGATGTAGCTGTTTCATTTCATAAATTCTCCCATAGTTAGATGACAGGATCTGTCTAAATTCCCATGCACACATGGTGCTTGCATCTGAATCTTTCCTTCTGTCTTTTTTTGATTAAGATGAAGTCCTCTAAGTTGTATTGCTGGTCAGAAAGTCCCATCGGTTTTTAAGAATTTATATAAATATTGCCAACTTGCCCTCTAGAAAGTGTACTAATTGATTTTCCCACTACTGAATCAACTTCAATATTGATTTTCTTTGTTTTATGCTTCCTTGATGATAAAATGTTAATTTGTTTTGAATTTATTTAATTACTAAATGATACATTTTTTATATTACCACTTTTATTTCTTATACAAATTATGTCTTTGCAATTATGTTGCTTATGTAATGTTAGTCTGTTTCTCAATTATGATATTTGCTTATTTTCTTGCTGTATTTGTGGCATTTATGTTGGAATTCTTATACCCCTTTTCTGGTCAAAATGTTGACTTAAATTATTTGAAGGATCATCTGTAAACAAAAGGCCTTTTTGAACACAGTTTTTTTTAAAGCACATGAACACATGTGTTTGGAGTGGGTAATACAAAAACGGATTTTTTGGACTGCTTAAGAGAAATAGCCCATTTTTCATGCCCCAAATTTGATTTTATGTCTTGCGTTGGCGGACTGAGTTGGGGAGAGACACTTCTGCTTCGCCTGCTGCGTGCTCTTTCCGTTTCCTTCCCTCTGTCTACCCAGTGTGTGTGTGGAGGCTTTTTTCCTAAGCCCAGGTAACCAGCAGTGGATTCAGGCGGTCTGGCATCGTCTTTTTGCCTAATGCTCTGTATTGACAGAGTTTTGTTTCTGCTCTGAATTCCCGCAAAGGTCCTCTAAGAGGGGTTGATGACGGCAAAACGTCACTCCCTGCTCGCACCCAGAGAGGGTATGCTGGAGCAGGCAGGCGACCTTTCAAGGACACAGGCTGTAAACAGAGATGGAATTAAAACCACATTTTTGGTTTTGCTCTTTTGGCCACGTGCCCAGACAGGAGGGTCACTGTTTTCAGAAGCTCTCATGGCATTGGGCCATTTTTTCCTCTGCTGGAAGTTCACGGAGGCTGAAGGTTAGCAGGCACTCGTTCCCCCGGCTTTTGGCGTGTTCTGGGGTGCCGACGAACACGGAGCAGTTCCTCAGGCGTCCTGACGGTGGCACTGCAGGGCCGCCACTGGAGGCCCTTCGCTGCTGGGAAAGGGAGCTCAGCGCCTGCACAGGGAGAGCCTGCAGCCTTGGGAGAAGGGGAACGAGGAGGGAAGGCTGTCCAGTCCACATCCTGCCTTCAGTGTCCGCTCTCCTGAGAAGGGCTGTTCTAATTTCCTCATCAGCGTGGCGGTTTGAACTCTACACCTTCCTCAGGAAAGAATAGTTTTTAACTTTCGGTGAATAATGCGGAAGAGGAAACATTTTTCTTAGTGCTGATAATGCTGTGTTAATTTTTATTTTGTCAGAGCAGACCTCACGGGCCAAGAGAGTTGGCCCGGGCAGGGTGGGGGCAGCAGGAGCGGCAGTGAAAGACCGGACGTGAGCGCGACCCACCCGACCTGCCCGGGCACCAGGGCGCTCTGCAGTGGAAGGCCCGCCTTCTTTCATTTGACACGTAGGCATCACTGTGTACTGTGCCAGGCTCCGGGGCTGCACTCTGTCCTCGTGGGCCTTCTTTCTGGCCGGGGACACTGACAACGAGCCCGCCACCAAGCAAGCGTGGCCATTTCAGAGGTCGGTCCCAAGGGATGGGGAGCAAAACAAGTGCAGAGGCAGGGAGCAGGGAGGCCATCCTGGGAGGGGACGTTTGATGTTTGAGCTGAGACCTGCCTGAATGACAAGGGCGGATCCTCGGGGCTACCGGCTGCTTTAGGGCAGAGGGAGAGAAAAAGGAGCCGATGAAGGAAAGGAAGAGAATTGAAGGTAACCGGGACCCTAGAGATCGAAGAGTCAAAAAAGCCAGTGGTGAGCCAATAAAGGAAGGTGCCTTGAAGTGAAGATCAAGGACCTCCTGGCCACCGCCACAAAGCTGGGCAGTTACAACGGGTCCCATTGTCTTGCAGAGCATTTTCCCAGGGGAGGATGACCCAAGACAAGGGTGGCAACGACTGCAGGCTACTCCTCGTGGTTAAGGGGCTGGTGGTTTGAGAGGATAGCAGGACCCAGACTCAATTTTTTTAGTTCTTCAACCTCCTCTCCTCCTCTCCCTCCTCTGATGTCACCAGCTGCCTCTGCATGCGCCTCTCAAACTTCCCGGTTCCCCTCATTGAATCGCCTTGTCTCATCCTGAGTGGACAGCTTGCAAGGACACACTGATCTGTCACATCCATCCTCCAGAGTGTCCAGCGCTCCCCTCAGGCATGAGCTCTCCTCACCGCACCTGCGGTGCGGCGCCTGCCTCCGGCGCCCACGCCCACCCTGTTTGTAATCAGCCCCGATGGTTGCCCCTCGCCCTGCTTCAGTACCTTCCGGGACTGATCCCAGAGCCCGAGGCCGCCTGTGCTCTGACTGCGGCCCACCGACAGCCCCTCCAGCTGTCAGGAAGGACCTTCCTCCCCAAAGTGGACTCCGTGTCATCCTCCAAACACGTCCTGCTGTTAAGTCGCCTCAGAGGCCCGGGGAGGTGCAGAGGCTCGAAGGGGGCCCATCGGGGTCCCACGCAGATGCTTCAGCTCCCTGCCTAGCTCCGGATTGCCGTGTACACCGCCCGGATGCTCCTGGCTGAGGGGACAGGTGGGACCTGCCACCTGGCCTGGCTCGCTGCCCACCCAGGGACCTGCGCCCTCCCAGAGCAGGTGCCTTTTTCTGTCGGCTCTGAGGGGCTCCTGCTCACCTGCCTTTCCAAAGTGGCCAGTGGGTCACGCGTCCCACCCATGCTGCCATGTCCTGCGACCCAGCCAGGATGCTTTGAAGAACACTTCAGGCACCTGCTCACGGCGGGGTCACCGCTTCTGGACCCCCTCTGCTCCCCACGTGCCCCAAGCCTTGTTCCCCACCCTGTTTCTCAGAGGCAGGCGGCGTTGCCTTGGATTTCCTGTGCCTGCTGAGGCGTTGCTGTGGGCCCGGGGTCTCCCCCTTCCCTGTTGGCTCCCTCAGCTCCCTCAGCTCCCACCGGGCGCCCCCTTATTGTCAAGGCGGCCTGTGTTGGGACAGAATTCTTGGGCACTGGGCCGCTGTTCTCCTTTGGCAAACAAGGACATGCAGCGCGTGGAATGTAGGACAGCCTCTGCATTTTTATTTGTTAACTTAGGAGACGATATACTTGTGCTTTCATTTAGCAAACATGGACTAACTTTTTCTGTGTAGTAGGAAGCACTTCCTAACTGTCGGGCTCAGGGAAGTGACTTAATTTCCCCGCGTTTCATCTTCTCCTCTGTGAAAGGGAGATGATCACTAAGCACCACAGAGTGGTCCTGCATCTTGCACAAGATAATGGATTTGAAAGGGCTTCGCCCAATCCCAGCACGGAGAAGGTGCTGGACAGGTGTGAACGGCCTTCCCTGCCGGCGCTCCCCCGCCTCCCCCGAGCTCCAGGATGGCGCCTCCGATCCCGCCATGCCCTGGCGGGACGGGTGCCCTGGGATGGTACTTTCTCCGCTCGCGCCGTGCCTCATTTTCCTTCTAGACCACACACCTCTCAGATATTTCGGGAGAATTATGTGAAGTACTACGTGAAGAGCACTTGGAACAGTGTCTGGCACATAGCTTGTTCAAGGAATAGCATCTCTTATTTTCATCATCGTTATTCTATAACCAGTGAGAGAGAAGTCTTTGCAATGACTTGTGTTGGTCCTTCGCTTGTGGGTGGTTGGAGGAAGCCCTCCTTGCTACTGGAGGCGTTAGACCGAGCGCGGGTGAAGTTCCGATGATGTGAGGAGACGCCCGGTCTGGGCCTGGGAGGAGGTAGGTCAGCGCCCTCGGCTGCAGTCTTGGTGGGTGGGCGCTCCGGTGGGGTCCTGATCAAGGCTCTAGTTTCTCTACATTTACATCCCACTGCTGCCAGGTCTTTAGAATAAAGATTGTGCTAATAAAGACCTAGAAATGACTTTTCTGAATGTAACTCTTTCCTTTGCTGAGGATGCCATATACTTTTGTGATTCACAACCAGGATTCCGAGTCAGACACACTCGATTCGAATCTTACTTGCCTTTCACTTAACTACCTGTGAGGCTTTGTGCAAATTGCCTAACCTCTCTGTTCCCTGGTTTCCCTTTCAGGGAAGGTGGGACAGTTTCAGCACCCACCTTGCACGGTGTTTTTAGGGACTAAATGTGATAACATATGAGACCTTTAGTACAGTCTCTGGAAGAGAGTATAAGTGTTATTATTCTAAATTTAAAAAGCTGATCCTCCACTTTTTATTATAAAA